TGACAGTTCGTCTTGCACATGCTCGCCAGGCAACGGATGTAAGTGACACTGAGACATGTGGCAAACCCCTACAGCTAGGGCGAATTCCATCTTCCACCATCTCTTGCAACAGGCAATGCTCCACCCTTCTTCCATCCAGGTCTCTTGCCAGTTTAGGCCGGGCTGTTTGGACGTGCTCCACCCTCAAACCCTGCATCCAGAAGACACGAACGCACGCTGACGAGCTACTTCTCCCGAATCCGGGTCGTGGTCACCCTCCAGGCTGATGGAAGCCCGCGCGTAAGCCTCGCCAGCACACTGTGGGGGGTTGACAGCCAAGGAATCTCAGAGCATCAGCAAGCCGACCTCGGACAGGGTCCTTTCAATGTCCAGCTCACCCGGCGCGAGGGCCTCTTGAAAGCTTCAGAGCTAGGGCATGTCTAAAGCGTGAGGCGTAGCCGGTCGTGCCACGCTGAAGGGGAATATCGAAGGATGTTATGACCGACACAGCTGTTGAGGTTGTAGGGTCTATTGCTTCGGTCTTGCCTTTTCTGACTTCGAGAGTGGGACTCGTTGGGTTACGGTCATGCGGGATCTTCCTCGAGTTTTGAGGCTGCTTTACGGAGCTTGCCGGGCGACTCCCCCCCCCCCCACACACCGAGTTGCTGGATTCTGGCCTGCTTTTGTCTGAAGTCCTCGGGCACCAGACCATCTGACCGGTTGGCGTGTGCCGTGCGTACCTCAGTTCTCCCACATGCCACGCAGATCCGATTTTTTATATCCCCAGCAGGGAACTCCATTTGCCAAGAGGGGCCACAGCAGAATACAGCGGACGCGCAGGCACCATCCAGTTCTCAGGCTTCCAGACCCTGGTGGCCGCAACCCACAAAGATACTCTCCTCCCCCTTTTGCGAACACCCCCTAACGTTAAATACTCCCATTATAACTATAATATAGTATATGGGGAGTGTTTAGGGGACTACAGACCTCTTCTTGGACCGGCGATTCTCTCTCAACCCTCTGAAGCCGCCAGTGATCGCCAGTGCATAAGGCCCCTTTCATTTATCTTTGTCTCTGCCACGGGTGTCTTGACGTCGGTTTTCTTGTAACTTTGTTGAATCTGCAGACTGTAAACTCTACGATGTTCACATTCGCCACGACGATGCTTTTCACGCTACTGGGTGCCCGCCCTAAGGCGACGCGACCCACGCGGGCAAAAGGCGACTCACCCCAAGCAGACGCCCCTGAATGCAAAAGGCAACCCATGCTATAGACTTTGATGCGGTAGATTGAGCATAGGGCCTATATGGTAGGTTACGGGAGGGTTCCGGGTTTTACAGCCGCAGTGAGACATCCGCCACACATGTTGGACAACTGCCTTGTGACACCTACGCGAGACCCCAAAAGATAACTATATTAAGGAATGTGCCAGAACAGAAAGCTGCAAGGGGACGCCCTGGCGAGACGCCCACGTGTCATGAAGATAACTGCCCCACGCCTCTTGCCCGCGCAAGACGCCTTGCGTCAACCACCCAGTACCAACCACGCCTTTTCACACATTGCCCCGCCGTTTTGTGATGGTCCGGGGCTTTGGCTTTCACAGAAAAGCAAGAAACAGCGGCCATTCGCGACATCGGTTCATAGCAGAATGCAGGAATAGTCAGTCACCTACATCCGGTATTTCACCGCGTGCACTAAGTGTCGGGCGTTCAAGGGCTCAGGCCACCCGTGCTCGATGGCCGAAAAGACTTCGCGAAGATACTCACCTGGAAAATTGTCTTCAAGCGCTTCACGGAGTTCAGGCCTGAACAACTAAGATGTGTCCGGCGGCTTCAAGCCTAACCCTTTTTGACTCTAACCTCCTCTTCCACCCTGACAAATCTACATGTCGATCTTGTAGAATGGGGAAACAAGGCAAACCGAGCAGCGGTTGACAGTGACGTCGAGCAGGGGATTGTCGCCCTTCGCGAAGGCCAAGCCCCGGATCTTGGCCAGGCTTGCGTTAGCAGGGGCGGAGATTCAGATTCCCTCACAACGTATGCGCGCGTAACGAATGAGCACCCATGCCACATAGCTGCTGCCCCCGCTGATTTTGCCAACTGATTTTGCCAAAGCTCTCGGTCCAGCGTCATCTCGAAATGCCCGACCAACACGTCCATCATGCCTGACATACCAGCACCAAACGGCAAGGCAATGCTCAGTGTGCGGCCAAACAGGATGCCAAGCCATACGTTTGCTAAGCGCAGAGCCTTTGGCATCCTTTTCTTGGAGGTTTGAGGGTTTGGGAATTGCACTCTGGCAAATCGAAGCTCAATCACAACAAGTCGGCTTCCAACACGTTGAACGATGATTTGCACAAAGACCGCAGCTGGGGTCAAAATATGGGCGCCCTTTGCCACTGGACATGTGTTGCCCTACAAAGAAGTACATGGGCGGTTATAGGGTGTTGGGGACCAAAAAGAAAATGCAGTATGATTTCTGCGGCAACCCCAAGTCCCGTTTAAGTCCCACGCTGGAGGCCGGGCTCTCCATGATGAGCGTGGCCTGCGCATTCATCTTTGAACCAAGGCTTTAGAACTCCATTTAGGGCCATGGTATCGTATGGAGGTATTTCATGTTGTTGCAGCTTCTTATGGGGAATTAAACCTCTACTACAATTACAATGTGGCCCGGCATCCGCTGACCAGCAAGAATGGCCACAGGGCACATGTCAGCTTCAAGGACTATGCTCATGGGGCTTGCAGCGCAGTGTCAGCTGCAGAGCTTTTTCCGCGCATCAGCGCTTCAAGGGAAACAACTCCGGGAGCCTTGGACAATGTCAAGTTCAGCTCCAGGGCCTCCTTCTCCCCGTGGAGCCTGGGCAAAGCGAGCTGCGATTGCATGCAGTTTGATCCGGCGGGATCTGTGCTCCCAAGACTTGGCATCCTCTTTAGACCCGACACACAACTTCCACGCCCCCAGAGCACAAGCCGAGCAAATGGACGCAGCTCTCCAAGCAAGCGATTCATCATATTCATCATGCAACTCTATTGGCACACTGGGGTCAGGAGAAGCCCTCGCGCGTCGATCTTCATAGTGAGTCCGTCCTCTTGCTAAGATCAAGTCCTTCACATCCTCACCTGTGAAAAAATTGTCGTGGCCGGGAGGCAGCAGCGGGAGGCGCAGGCGCTCCAAACGCACCTGGCGATTAACAGAAGACGTTGGAGGAAGCAGCAGATATGTAGAATTCTCAGTAGTTCCACAGGTCAGGCCCTTGACTCAACAAAACTTCAAGTCTCGAATCCCCACACCCTGCAATGCAGTGCTGCCTGACGTCCCTTCAAAACTTCACAAAACTGATTATTTTCTTCAGGCTTGGAATGTCCAACTCTTGCACAGCTGCCGAAGAGCAGCTAAGGTGTGCAACCCTCTGGGGAGAAAGCACCTTGCCAAACTCCTCAAAGTCTTATAGCTGCATTATAGCTCCAAGCTGCCCCCGGTTTCCCGCTAGGCTGCAAGCCTCCGGAATCACCGCCTGGCAATGCATGACACTGGAGGGGCCTTGATGCCGTGGTAGAAACCCCACAGCATCACAAAGGACGATGCCACCCCTCTTTGGGAGGCTGAACCGGTATGGGTCTTGAGGCCCTGAGAAGGCGCCTTCCTGCGCCAAGATGTCTGTTGCATCTTCCGCAGGAAGGATGCAGACCCATCAACCCCCCACGCCTTGTTGCCCTCGATGATGCTCACCGACCCCACCGCCGTGAGTTTCCCCGGTGTCGCAGGCAGCAGGTTGTTCAGGTTGGTGCCGTTGCCTTCACAGCTCCAAAGGCTTCTTGTGCTTCAGGCTGCGCAAGTCCACTGACATGCCTTGGAGGCATCTCACACGCCTCAAGCTGTCCTCACACATCCCTAGAGCTCACCTATCGCGGTCTCCAGCAGCTTCATCGGCGCAGCGGCGCTGGACGTCAGCCGTATCTTGGGGAACTGCCTCCTTCAGCTCTCAGGGGGCTCTGCGGGCTTCGTGGGCTTTGTGAGGCCTTGCTTCCCGGCAACTCCGACTCACCCAATCCGAAGCCCGTGACCCGAAAGCTCCAAGCGACCAGCAACACAAGCAAAGGCTGCACCCCATGCCCAGAACCGCAAACTCTGCCTGACTCTACACTAGACCGTCAGACGACGCGAAACTCCGGACCGGGGCGCATGGATGGGAGGTCCACACCCACAGCCGCCTTCACGGAGGTGCCTGCAAAGACCGAGCTGACGGCCTGAGGAAGCTGTCGTGATTCGGACGCTCTCCGTTTTTCAGTGCTAGACGTCCGCTGAAACACATTTTTTTTTGGGAGGCCTGGAGTGGCAGCTTGGGTTTATGAGGAAGGCTTCCAGCTGCATCCCCCTCCCCCAAGCACCTGGGAAGCCTGCGAGTAAGCATGGAGGTAGGAGTGAAGCAGCATCATCGGCAGCGACTCCTCCTTTGCCTCACGGATCCATGGCATTCACCCTAAACTTTACCCCAAACCCTAAACCCGAAACCCTAAACCCGAAACCCTAAACCCGAAACCCTAAACCCTAAACCCTAAACCCTTTTGCCGGAACCCTAAGCCCGAAACCCTAAGCCCTAAACCCAAAAAGCCATGCTTGAGGAGACCCCGGCCTCGCACCTGTCCGGCGTGCAACCCTGGCCTGGGCTGCTGATCTCACAGCTCAGGGAATCCCAGAGAGGTCAGGGTTTAGGGTTCAATGCGAGGCGTTTGGGTTTAGGGTATAGGGTTTAGGGTAGAGGGTTTAGAGGGTTTAGGGTTTAGGGTTTAGGGGTTTAGGGGTTTAGGGGTTTAGGGTTTAGGGTTATTTTGCTACCGGTCTAGCCATGCTCGGCAACTGCGGGTTTAGGGTTCAGGGTTTAGGGTTTAGGGTTTAGGGTTTGGGGTTTGGGGTTTGGGGTTTGGGGTTTAGGGTTTTTTTTTTGCCACCCGCCCAGCACTCCTGCACACTGCGGGGGATACCTCAGAGGGTCTCCACATGGTTGCTGACAATTGCTGGGTTTAGGGTTTGGGTGGGCTGCACTTCTCATAGAAGTGCTGCCAGAATGGTGTTTGAGGACGCAAGTCCAAGCTTGTGGGAAGCACGATTTGCTTCTGAGTTCTGGCCTGGGCCCCTGGAATGCCGTTCAAAGTCAAGTGGCTCGCCAGAAACTTCTCCGTCACAGGTCCGGGCAAAAGGGCTGTCGTCGTAACATCTTTCACAGTGATGTGAACCTCGGACCAAAACATCTTGCAACTTCCGCACGATATCCACCCAAACAGCGATACAATTCTTTTCCGTTTACACTTGTAGTGGAGCTGCTCTTGTGCCAACAGGAAAAAGGAACCAAGCTACGATGGCCGCCAAACTCACCCACCTGGCCTGGTCAGTCTCGCATCGCTCGTTGCTCTCTTCTGGCAATTCTGGCACAAGGCAGTGGCCCTGGATGCTGAACTGGTGGGCCAACTCCCCGACCCTGCCAGGGCGTTTGGGGGTTCAGGAGGCTGGCTCTGCGGATGCCAGGGTCATGAAAGGTCCATGCCCGGATCTCTCAGTCCCTGGTGCCTCATCGGAATCTGAACGAAGGCTTGACCCAGACTTTCAGGTATGATGCTGGCAAGCACTGGCCAAAACGAAGTGAGGAAGATCTCCTGAGTGCTCGGTTGCCGGTATGCGCCACGTTTACTGTACCAGATTGAGGGATAAGCTGCAAATTCCAGGCAAGCGACATCCATGTTTCCGTACGCGGCGACCAGGTAATTGATGAGGCCTCCAGAGCAAAGCTTTGGGGTTTCTTTGTGGCGAGGCAGTGTGGAGTGCCAAGGGAAGTTCACATAAGCAATGGCTTTAGGGTTTAGAGTTTACGGCTTAGGGTTCAGGGTCAAGTCGGCGAAAAGCAGTGTGCGGGCAAGGACGCGGGCACGATCCCCACTCAAAACCGTTAAGCCACACGCCCGCACAAGTCAAAATGTTGGACACCGGGTGTGTGTCAAGCCCCCCCCCCCCCCGAACCCTTTTTTGCAAACCGGACTTGATGACTGCCAGCCTGAACCCGAAACCCTAAACCCGTTTCCCTTTTGCAGCCAGTCTCCTCACCACTGCCTGCCTCGCCCCTATTCCCAGCAGCCCTAAACCCTAAACCCTACTACCCTAAACCCTAAACTCTGAGCCCTAAGCCCTAAACGCGAAACCGTTAAACTGCATGTGGCCTTGAACGAGACCCCCGCGGCCGAACTCAAACTTCACGTCGGACACGGCCTTGGGGAGCACCTCCCAGTGCCCACCTGGCAGAAAAGGTAAGAGATGTAAGCACCTCGAAAGGGTTAGGGTTTTTGGGGTTTAAGGTTTAGGGTTTAGGGCTCAGAAGGGGCCAAGTACTTGAGTTTAAGGTCACTGACCAGCTCAGCAAGAGACTCGGCGTGGGAGGGCGCGCGCGTCTGGGAGGGAACATGCAACTCCCAACTCCCAAGGCCCATGCTTGCGCGCCTTCGCTCAGCTTGAACTCGCCTTTCATCTTGAAGGTGGCCTTCAAAGGCCCCTCTTTGAGGCTATCGGCCTTCTTGTAACCGAACGTGAAGACCTGCAGATGGCAAAAACTTCGCACGAAAGAGGTCGACTTGGATGAACAGCGTTTCCAGGTGTCCGGTTCCCACTGCCAGGCAAGGTCTGTGACCGCTGGGCCCCGGGCCGGCCGGAAGAAGCTGTCGAGGGAAGACGCTGCCTTGGTGATGCCCTCAACCGCGGAGTCGGGTGCTTTGAAATCGATTCCTGGTGACAACGCTCGCAAGTTTGAAGCTCTTGGGTCATGTTGGAGCTTGGGATGTGGATTCACCGAGCTGACCGAAGTAAGGTGTTGAAAGCATGCAAAAAATCAGAGAAATCAAGTATGGACCACCAGAACGGGCGGTTCTCAATGTGGTTTAACACAGGGCTTGGCTGAAAAGTGCACCATGGACAGTGAAAGCTTCCAAGGGGGTTGATCAGCTGCATATATGAAGCCCCAAGTATCCCCTAACTCTCATTACACTCATGATGCGTATGATTGGGCAGAGGTCCTTGGACATAGGCGTGAACAATGCCAGGCCCATCTCGGCCTTCGATCTCGAAGAGGAATGTCGTGTCACTGTTGCGCACCAGCTTCCCCACAACGTCGAAGCTCACAACTTGAATCTGCTCAATGAGGAAGTGCACATCACCAATGGGAGTTGCAGGCACGACCATGCGGATGGATGCATTGCCGTGGTCCTCGGGCGGGTAGCGGATGGTGTCCAGCTCTTCCTGCGCTCGGCAGGCTTTGGACTCGAAGCTTCCCTTCCGTGTCGGCACCTTGACAGGTGCTCTGATCTTGTGAGGTTTGGCGAGGCTCTCGCGCGTCGAGCTGCTCTTGCTGTGGGCCTCTGAGGAGCTGGCCTCTGAGTCTGTTGCTGTTTGAAGCAGCACTGGGTGGCTTTTCAGCTGCCCACCGGCTGGTAGTTTGCCCCACGTGAACTCATCGACGACGCTCAGAAGGTTTGCTTGCACAGTATCTGGGGGCAGCACGTACTGCGGCTTTTCGGCATCATGGGTGCCATATCCCCACTGCGCTGCATGGATGTCATCCAAGCGCCGCAGCTGCAGCTGAAGTGCATTGTACAAGGCGTGTGCCTTGTCACGCGTGGCGCACAAACGTTCCGTGACTTCCGATTGGCCATACAAGAACCCGGGCTTCATCCGCTTGATAAGAACACACGGCTCCTCATAGATGTCAAAGGAAGGCTTTTTCATACCCACCAGGTTGACCTGGAGCTGGCCGTGGGTCATCTCGAGCCGGCTCAACCGATCGGATCTCAACGGCCATTCCAGCAAACGGAGGAAGCCGCAATTGAGGACTGCCATGACCGTTCGCGCATTCTTGCCATCGTTGTCTTTCCAGATGAACTCATCCGCAAAGAACACGTAGCCAAAATCCTGCGTTGGAGGCGCCGCCAAAGCCGACACCATTATGGCTTTGACATCCAAGGTCATCTGAAGCATGGACTGGATCTTCAGATGCAAACCCCCCTGCTCATTTCCGACGACGTCGAGGCTCACGTTTCCATAAGCAATGAGGATTCTGTCGATCAACGTCATGTCCGGCTCGTTTGCTGTTGGTCGCTGGAACTCGGGCGGCACACGCGCGTCCATGGTGTCAGCCGCCTTGAAGACCCTCTGCCGCCCCCCTCTGGGAGACCGGGTCATGTGCTTGGTCTGACGAACTTCTGCTCCACCAGCCCCGCCCCAAAGCTTGATCTTCCCAACAGGGTCCAGCGTGATTTTGCCACCTGAGCACGCGAGGCCAAAAGGCTGAGCCCAAGCTTCAGGAAGCCCCAAGGCAATGTCCTTGACCTCTGCAGCGACGATCTCCCATTTCGCTGTTGCATTGTCACTGGCATCGGCCTTCTGCACCCAATTGCTGACAGATGCCAGAGCCAACAGCATGCGATGGGAGTCGAACCTGAAGCCCTGAAACTCTGCTTCCACCAGTGTGCCGTTCGACGGGAGCTTTGGAAGCAGATCCTTAGAACCGGCAGGTGCTTGCGAGTAGCCCAGGGCATGTTCATCAATCTTGCCACGGTTCGCGTCCTACTCTCTTAAGAAAATTCGCTTGGGAACTGAATTCATAAGTCATAAACCCGATGCTCACAAGAGCCTTAGTTTCCAAGACACTGCGTTTGAGGCAACAGCATCGCACAACAAAAAAAACATGCGACGGTCGGGCAAGTGAACACGCCTCCTTGCAGTGAACTTCGGTTTCTATAGTCATTCGAAGCTTTGGTACTTGGCAGGGCTTGCGCTTCAAGTGGCTTCAAAAGGTTTTAGGACTAGAGTCGGCGAGACCAAGCGCGTCAAGCAGTCCATCAGAAGCTTCTGCAAAACTGTACCTGGAGGATGCGGGCAACCCCTAAACCCTAAACCCTGAACCCTAAACCCTAAACCGCTGAGCTGGCTTAGCTCTTTCTTGGCTCCTGAGAACGAGCAACGTTCTGCTACAGGCTTGGTGTGGTGGCTGTTGGGTGGCAAACCCGAAGCTCTAACTGGAGAGCCTAAAAACCCTAAACCCTAAACCCTAAACGTAGATGTTGGGTGAAAAGTCCTCTACGCTTAAAGGCGATGCTGCGTGGCAAGCCCTAAACCCGAAAAGGAAACAGTCTTCTAACCCTAGATGATATGGGCGAGCCCAAAACTCTCGAAGGTGGCGTGCTGAGAACAAATCCAGTTGCAGCTAAGAAAGGTGTTTCGCTACCCTTTGGTGGGATCAGGCCGGTTCAAAGAGGCAAAAAGTTGCACCTACGTAGTCTTGATCAAAGAAATGAAGTTTCGACTGGCCCTTCCTGTCATGCTCTCCACCCACCACCCGTCCCACTGAGCAAACCCAAGCAGTTGTGGGAAGGACAGCAAAGTGAACACAAAGATAGGGGTTGTAAAGGCTTCGGTGGCGAACACCTCCAGCAGACGCCCCACGACACCCATCCTCCCATGCATGTTGGGAAAATGGGGCAACTTGGCCAAGGTTATCGCTTTACAGCAATGCCAATCCCCTCAGGCTGTCGGAAATTCACTTGCGAAAGAGCGGCATTTGAGAATCATCGTCTGCCTCCTCCCGCATCCTTGGCAGTTTTGACCACCAAACGTGGGCCGGCTGGCCCCATACAAGCTCGGCATGTCATGAAACTAAGTTTTGGCGGTGCGTGGCGCAAAGAAAATTCTCCCGCAGCTATGTGAGCAGCGAAATGACGTGAAGGAGTGACCCGAAGCGGAGTTGATGCATGTTGTCTGATGCTAGCGTTCATTGCGGCTTCAAGGCTGGGCACCTTGTATTCTCATAGAATGTCAGATTTATACATATGTACATACATAATCAGATACACATATCTATCTGCATTTTCCTACATATGTGAATGTGTGTATATATATATATGTATACACACATATACACATGTTGTACTGTTTGTTTGCCGTTTTCTTGAATCCTCGATCCCAGCAGCTCCATGCCAGGGTGGAGCTGGGCCCTGGCAAGGCCATCCCAGCCGGCACCACCGCCCAGCTGCACTTTGAAGCCTTGGAGCTCACATACATTTTTTTCATATACGTAGAATCGTATCTAGAAATATATAGAGACATGTAGACATGAGAATACACACACATGTGTATATATATATGCATACATATACATACATGTGTATACATATTTATGTATATCTCCGAACTTCTCAGGGGCTAAGGTTGCGAGGGTGTGCAGGCAGCGTGGCGACGCACGTTCAGCGATGAGGCATTTGCAGCATGCCCTGAAAGCTCCAGGCACCCAACTCCAACTGAGCCGAGCAACCATTGAAGTAGTCGGCCTTGCCTTCGGCATGGGCCTACAGCCCACAGGAGAGGAAGAAGTTCAGGAGACTTAAGGTGCCTACGAGGATGCAGATCTCCAGTTCGCGGCTCCCAAGCTCTTCCGATGGAATTTCGGACTCATACTGCAAGGGGCCTTAATTCTGTAATGAGGGGGTTTATATGCTTACGCCCATCGGGTACTCGACATCTACGTCTGGAACCCTTGCATGTGTCCTTCAGGAACGGCTGCAGGGATCTGACCAGCAGGTCACTTGTGATCTTCCTGATCGGGACCACGTTGTGGAGGTTTGGGTCTAGCAGGGAGCGCTCTCGCTCGCAGTTCCTTCGTGCCCTTCTTGATCCTCTTCTGTTCATACAAGGGGGGTTCGTACCAGAAGACGCTGCCCCTCTTCCCTTTGCTTTCAAATCCTTTCCACCAAGCACTGCCCGTTAAAACAGCTCCCTAACGTACTATAAAATAGTCGTTTTGATATTCGGGGCAGGGGAGTGTAGACTGAGGAAGCTTCGGTTGGTCCAACCATTGATGTGTCACCATAGGATTGTTGCTGCCGGTAGAATGTGTTCCCTGAAGCCCTGAAGAAGTGACTCGGTCCTGGCTTCTTCCATCAAAACAGGACGAAGGGATTGGAGGTCCTGCGCCAACGGCAGCCTACGTGACTTTGCCACAACGCGAAAACATGTGAGATTCCACTTTGTGTTTGCTGCTTGGGGCTTCGCAGGCTGCGCGTGGCGAGCGCAACCGCTTCAGGCAAGGGGCATGTACGTCTTGTCCGCCCAAGAAGAAAGGCTAAGGACTAAAGAAGTTCCCCTTTGATTCCTGAACCCTCTCACCCTTGCAGCCTGCTGTGCAAGATGTCATGGAGTCACGGCGCCCGCTGCCACTTCTACCGACATTGTCTTGTCATGTGTACGAGAACTGCTGGGCTGGTTACAAGAAGCACCCATGCCACGCAAAAACTGGGAATAACAATAGTCGAACGTCCACACCCACCTGTGCCGCCATGAGAGACTTAATGTTATCGCCGATCACGAATCCTGGGCCACAGGTCCCACAAACAGCACGCGGAACTAACCATAACATCCCCCAACCCAACACTAACACAGCTCAGAAGCTGTACTCGTGAAGGTTGTCGATCAAACTCCTGCGGCCCGTCTGCAGTGCCTGGGCCCCAAGAACACGCGCACCTCGCCTTAACAGTCGGCCTTCGAAATCAGGCACCCGGCCTGTGCCACAGTGGGGTCGTCCAGGAACGCGCGCACCAACTCCTCCCAATCTCTGCAGATACCCCAGGATCTTTTCCGGGCAAGAATCTCACAAGTATACTCTCATTTTCAATTTTCTTTCTTGCTTCATTTATCCACAACCTTTATATGTACTACAGAACCAGTATTATATGGATATCTGTGCTTACATGTCTCTTCGATCGTATTACGACACAATGAGCGTGAACCATGGGCTTCTTTTGGAAGAGCTGAGGGAGGGACACGGAGAAACAGGGACTGGGCCCAGCAAAGTGTTGACACGGGTGCGGCGGCAGAGTTCGGTTTGACCCTTGACCTTTTCCTGAATCCTCTTCCCCGAAACCGTATTCTTGTGGCTGGGTTCAACATCCATTTCAAGCCGGAAGCCTTGCTTGTCGTACCAAGCTTCCCGCCTTGAAAAACAGTTCCTAATTCAAATTTTTCCAATGCTAGAAAAAACTGCTTCGATCATTGTCCCAATTTTCGAGGGTTTCCCTGGATTTCTCTGCATCAGGGTACAGCAGGACGATTCTTCAGAGGGCCAGTGGGTGAGATGCTGTGATACTGCAAAAACGGACCCTCCAAAGTACGCCTGCGCAAGCACCTCAAAGGTCCGACAATCTCACGAAGCGCTCGAAGCGCTGGGAAGTTAAACGAAAGCTATGTAACGGGATCAGCATGTGCCTCTGCCAGGTGTTCCACGTTAAAGTTGTTGAGCAGCACGTCGAGAAGCCTGCAGTGGGGAGCCCTTCTTCTGCAAACACCTGAGCCTAGCTCAAAAGCTCCGACTTGGGATGTGCCCGCTTATACCAACAGTCCTCAATAGGGATTATAGTAACCCCCCTCTTAAAACCCCCATTAACCTTCTAGAAGGGGGAACCGCACCGTGAAAACCCCTGAGGCAGTGGCTTTGCAGGCACGAGGTGCGCTGTGACTTCCAACGACGACTCCAGCATGAGAGGGCCGTTCACCTCAAAACAGAATCATACATTATATAGATGTATATCGCTATAAATATGTGTATATATATAGAGATATATATATATATATATATGTGAATATATAAATATACATATATATATATATATGTGTACATATAGATACCCAGTTTGATGTCTCAACCCATCATGAAAGCCTACCCTTGCTGGCTCACTTGCTGCCTGACATTGAGGAGCTTCTATCCGTTATCAACATGTCGCCTCAGCCATATGCCCGGACAGCGCCATGCGTGCGTTGAGCCACAGGTCCTGGACCGCAAAACCGACACATGCGATTGTCATTGTCTTCCAAAGCTCAGAATGGCTCGATAACCCCTAACCTTAAAAACCCCTAACAGCCCCCAATAACCACCAATAACTTGTAACCCTTACTAA